GGAGGAAATATGTATAACCACATATCCAACTGTTGGAGGTGCAACTTCACTTGGGCCGACAACCATTCATGGGCTTATTGCGCCGGCTAAAGCTCTAACAATGGCCCAAGCCCATCATTGAAAGGAATATTCTCAGGAAATATTCTCCTCACCTTATCTATATATACTCCATTTTTGGTGGTGAAGAGTAAGCTCACTATCACTCCCTTCCTAACTCACATGCTTTATTTCTATCACTCCTTGGACTGACTTACTCGTCGGAGTACTAACCCTTATTTTGTAGGTCTCAGGTTCATAGACACCGTTGACTCTCGTCCTAACGGATTTCACCCTCGACACCTTGCAAAAATGCCGAACATGAATATTTAGTGAAGAAAAAACTCGCTCGGTTGGAAAAAGTATTAGGGTTTTGGCTCTTTTTTCTCTTCGATGTGATAGGATCAAAAGAGAAAGGCAAATACGGAAGTGCATAAATAATTTAATTTTAAGATTCTAAGAAAATAATTTACTGCCTGTAATCCATATTATCAAAAACTTGTACCCTTTTTATTAATTAAAAATTCCCTACTGTCCTTAATCCAAATTTTCCCTAAAACTTGAAGAATGAACCTCAAAAGAGAAAATTTCACGGTGTTTAGTGTGCAATTGAAAGCACAAAGCCAAAATGTAAAAACCAGTAGTAAGAAATATTTTTTGGATGCGATAACCAGGTGTATGTTGCGCAAAATTTCAATTGACCTACCAATTAATATGACTTGCCGACGGTACACACTACACAAGATTCGGCTCACTAAGAAGAGTGGCTGCGTAAGAAGAGTTGCTGATTCTCTGTATGCACAAATCAAGAACAACATAATCCCGATTGGAGAAGAATTGTTGAAGTTATAACCTTATTTCATTCTTCAACCTCTCGGTTCTCCTTGGATTCATCCACTTCAAATCTAAAGTCAAAAGTTTTTGGTTCAAAGTTTGATGTTGAACATCAACAAACTCGAAGCAAATATCAAAAACACCCTAATTCCTTCACCATTATGGTACAAACAGAGGGCAATGACGACATCGGGTGTCGAAATAAGCAAAATTTCTCTTTCAAAACTACATCAAAAGATGCACAAAGCGTATTTGATTATATTAGCAATGAGGCGGTTTGAGAAGGAAATCACAGGATTAAATTTTTTAGTTACTTATATTGCGTTTGATTTTGGATTTTGATCGGCGAATATACTGTAATCAGGTTTTTTTATTGCCTCGTACAAATTGATATGCTAGTGCAATTTCCAACAGATTGATTGATCTTTTTTTATTAAAAAAAAATCTCAATATCAAGCTAAGAAAAATTAATAGATTAACAAAGAAACCCAATTTTCACATTCTTAGTGTGATGGGCCAATTTTTGAAAAATCTTATCCACATGAGAATGGACCGACCGCAGCATGCACTTTAATGGAGGGAAAATCGATTTGAAGCCCGCTTTGGTTAAAATTCGTGGATGCAACAGAGAGCGAGGAAGCCGAATCCAAAAAGGAGTCAATGACGCCGCAGTCCATATCGAAGAAAGATTCTAGCTGCAACAGGAATCCTTACAGAATTCGACTTCTGTTGCAACCTAGCTAGGGTCGGTGGAATCTGTATAAAAGCTATGAAGGAGGTACCGGGAAGGACACAACTCATTATCTAATAATCAGAAATCATATTTTCCTTTATAGCTTAAGCTTTTGTGTATTCGTTTATGTTTCAGCTTTAAACATTGTAATAATTTCAACGATTCAGGCTATTCAAAGCCGATTCGTATTCATTCAATCAATAAAACAGGCTCTGGCAAGCCGTTTTATCCATTTCTTAGAATTTGTCATTATTCGGTTGAGTGCCAATTCAAAGGCATCATCCAGTTTAAGACAATTTCAATGTTTGGTTTACGCACTTTAAGAATATCACGCAGTCGCTTGAAATTAATTTGAGCCGAATTAGTTTCCACTATAAAATACAATTTTGACTCAAACATAGTCTTACCATTATGATTTGCGTTCCATTTCCCCACCCCTAAGAATCAAATGACATTGTTGATCGCAATTCTGAAACTTCATTTTTTTTTTTCCATTTTTCTTGGAGGGAAGGAGTTTATCAAATAATCCTTTTATCTACTTGCTCCTTTTTACTTTAAAACACTTAAAGTTGATCAATTAAAATGATCAACTAAAAGATAGTTGCACCTAAAATTCCTATATATCGAACCAGTTGATGAATTGTGTTTCCGTTTTATTTTTTTCCGATTAAAAAATTGGATTCTCCCAATGTGATAGTTGGACTCCCAAGAATTGTTGATGTTGGCTTGTTCCCAAAGAATGATAAAAATATTGATCATCGTCGATTATCATTCATATCGTGAATGTATCTATATTACATAAAGCACGGAAGCACTTTTTGGTACGGTTAAAGGGAAGTTACATGTCATTTGTGCGTACATGTCAAGTGATGATTCGACCTTCTGTTTGTTTGTTGCTTTCCAACTCTTCTATTTCCTCTTCATTCATTCCGGTTGCCAATACCATTTTCTCTTTGGTTTCTTCGCAGAACTAGATGGAGAACTCCACCCCACAACACTAACCTCTTCTTCGACTCTCTCTTCTCGCTCCGGCAAACAAAAGTCAAATTAAACAATTTGGCGTGTGAATTCGATTCCACAGAGCAGAAGAAAAAGCTGAAGATCCTGATTTTAGAACTGTAAGTGTGCTCCTATTTGTCTTTTTGTTTTGGGTGAAACTGGTGTTATAACACTAGAATTGGATTTCACAGAGTTTTAATGATTAAAATGGCTTGGTTTTGAGTTTTGTTAAAGGACCTCTTTGTTTATTTTAAGCATAATTCAGAATAGGATTTCAGTTAGAAGGGATTGATTATTTTATTACTTTTCCATTTAGCCATGAATTTGTTCATGTTCTTGGGTTCATGTGTATGTGTGTGTCTTTTCAAATGATGGGTAGCCTCTGTTGTTTTGGGGGTTTTCAGAAGAGAGTTTTATTGGGATTGATTCTAAGCCTATGCACAGAGTTTTCTTGATCTCTTTGTTTTACACCACATGTTTTCTTTAAGCTGCTGCTGAGTGATTCACTAGGAGACTGGAAAGTATCCATGTAGCATATCAGCTATCATGAATATGTTACATATGTTGGCTGAATGGATTCCTTGCTACATGTTCTTATTGGTTTGATAGGGGGAGTGGGTACATGGATGACTTGAGCTGGATCTTGGTTTTCCTTCATGCTGCCTCAATTTTGTCATTTTTTCTTTTCTCAGTTGGGAAGCAAGCAGTTATGGATATCATGGAGATGATGGTTTACCTTATGGAGGATATGGCAAAGGAGAGTTATTTGGCCCAACATATTCAATTGGCGATACTGATGGCGGCATCAACTATGACATAAGATTGATCAACCAATACTTTTCTTAAGCTTCCATGTGGTGAGATTTTGATTCTCCACTCTTTGCGTTGCTCTGATTCAGATGTTTCAATTTGAGTTTTTATTGTGATCAATGCTTACTTTGGTCAGATTTTTGTTGGGAGTATAAAATGATCACAATAAGAACTTATCCATTTGAAAATCACTGAGAAGGCAAGAATTTGAGATAATAAGCAGGAGTTTATTTGGAAAGAAAAAGGAAAATATATTCAAGGTATTGATTTCATGTGAAAAAATTGTAGGCCACAATTTACGTAGAACATTTAGAAGATCAAATAAATATATTTATCATTTTTGTGTACAGTAATAATGATATACTAAAATAGGTATTCTGTGCTTATGCACCTGGTTTAAAGATTGAATATTTTGCAGCTGTATTTCAAATTTTTTCAACTGCAGGGTTTCATATGGGTATGATGACATAGATTACCTATTTGCTAGGAGCTTGAACTATTTATTTTATGTGCACAAATTTGGCAGTATGGACTCTGAAAATGCAGCAATGAAGTCCCTGGTTGTGATTGAAGCTTACAGGACACTTCGAGACAGGGGACCTTATCTGTGATAGCAAGATTGGAACAATATTTGCTGCCCTGGTAAGATGACAAATCTCTTTAACTGATTGATCTTAAAGTAGCCGTATTACGGATTTGCTGCAGATGGTTCTATGATGATTTTAGATGATTTAGACTTCATTAAAGTTGGTTGTGCCAAATCATATGCACCCTTTCCAACTTATAAATTAAACAAGAACAACTAGAGGTGATCGAACTGTTTGATGAGCCATAAGTCTTCGAACTCTTCAATTCCTCTTTTTTCTTTGCAGGATGCATGTTTCACAGTGAACAAGGGCTGATGAGCTTTGAGCATCCAACTCACAAGATAAGGACAATGCCAAAGGTAGACAATAAAGGTGCAATATGTGGAGCTAAATTTTGAAGGTTGATCTTTACACCAGAGTTAACAAAATTCCTCATGTTGGCAGTTAGACCAACTGGGTTGATTGGAATACTCCTAACAATCTTAGATTAGACCAACTGCAGGATTCTGATTAGGTTGCTACCAAATTGAACATATTTTTTTGATCTGATTTTAGTTTGATCTTTTATATTAGATTTCCTTGGTATAATCACTCAAAATTGTAATGTTGTGTAATAAACTGAATTATCCCTCTTACGCAATTTATTTACTTTATTATATAATCAAAAACATAACTTGGTATCTTACACCCCACAACCGCACCTCATGCGGTCCCACACCAGCTAGTTTTATTAAATAAAGAATTAGAGAAGTCTTCAGCTTTGTCACTTGCAACTGATATCTTATAGATTTGAATTTTTCTTATGCACATTAAACATCACATGCATAAGATGTGATTGATCACTTCCTTACTCATTTTCATCGTCAGATTTATTTTGATCATCCATCCATAACTGAAAAATAAACTTACCATAAGACTTAAGAAGGGCAGAAGAAAACGCCTCCTAACTAGTGTTATATCTCATCAGTGGAATCTCATTTTTTCCTACGTCAAAAAAGAATTTGGGACAAAAATAAGAAAATTCGATTAATCATTTTTGAATAATTAACTATTTTGAAACCGAGAGTAATTATTACTTTGACAATGAGAACATGCTAATGCATTAAATTAGCATGTTGTTAGGAGTTTCGACATAGAAGTGGTAAATCCTTCCACAACCTACGAACTACTCAGTTTCGGCGTACCTAAGATACTTTACATCTCATGGTAATATGCAAGATACACAGAAAGCACGTGTTTATATATTTCTGGTAAAATTCCTACCATTACCTTCAAAAGAAGAAGAAAGAAAATATGTGTCTCCATACAACTCTTCAACTCTATGGCCGGTGATCAGCCGCCGGTCATAGGTCAATTACATCTAATTCAACCCCCTCAGAAGCCTTCATTTGCACAAATCCTAGCATCTAATTCAAATCCAAAGTCTATTCATGGCCAAGCATCAAAAAAATCAAACCTCAACCGTAATTCATTCTGAGCCAACTTTCTTCAATGGAGAGCCGACTTTTTTTCTTACAAAAGAAGAAGATGAACAATTGGCAGCCCCCTTTCAACTCCCTTGTAGGAAAATTAACCAAAAGTAGGCCAAAAATGGACTATTTGGGGTGAGAGTTCCAAACTATCAGGTTCAGGGGAAGTTTCTCAATAGGGATGATAGATCACCGACAATTTCTCATCTGTTTCAATCTAGAGGAGGATTATCATCGTTGCTAGTTAAAGGGTTTATGGACCTTTGACAAGCATCGGATGCGAGTTCTCAAATGGACCACCGACTTCAATCCTCCACATGAACGCTCAATAGTTGATATTTGGAATTTCTTTTGAAGGTCTTCCAATCCATCGCTTTAATAAAGAATATTTCTGGATGCTTGCGAGTATCATCAGAACGCCTCTCCAAATTAACGTCCCAACTCTTAATATGTCACGGCCTTCGGTGGCACGAGTCTGCGTTGAGATTGATCTCCTCAAAGATCCGAATCCGATTGGGAGTAGAGGGGAAATCGTATTTTCAATCAGTGTTCTACGAGAATATGCCTCTATATTGTGTCGATCGCAAAAAGATTGGTCATGACATCAATTCATATCAACACAATACAACCGCATCCCAATCACAAAAGATAGAACTTCTCACATCAAAGCGTCAGCCAAAAGAACAATTGCAAGAAAAGCAAGGAGAAACGCTGACCACAGAATCGCCGCCATATACGGCCCCCTCAAATTTGGTACAGAGTCAACTGCTGCACATGGTCGTTGTTAGCAACGACCCTCAACCCTCAAAAACTGGCCAGCAACCTGCTGCTGCGGACGCGTTGTCAAGGCTGCATGAAAAGGATGTCGCGATTCCGGAGAAAGCCCTAGTCGCACCCCCCTGCAGAATTCATGGTACACCAGAAATAATTCTGAAACCTGTGCAAGGCGTTGAGGGTCGACCTCAGGCTTGACGATGATGGAGAAATTTGGTGTCCCTACTGATGTTATAGATAGCCCGGTCCTCCATGAGATCTCTGAACAGAAGGAGAAAGAAGGAATTTCTCGGAGTCCCATTGAACCTTCTGTTGCAATTGACAATCCTACGCAAGAGCAAACTGTTGCTGCTACGAAGAACCAAGAATCAAATTTGTCGATGAGGACATGCGAGCATCCCCTGCTGCCGCTGTTGCAGTGGAGACAATTCCGATTGCTTCCACCGCCGGCGGAGAACCAGCATCATCATCGCCACCAGTGGAGCAAATCCGGCGCGACTCAACCCCTACGATTTCACAAATTTCGTTGGTTCAGTGAAGTCCCATAACTCCATCCCCTATTGCGCAGTCAACACCAAATCAACTGGATACTTTAAATTATAAAGAAGATAAGGCGGTCCCACTCTCCCAATATTTCTCCACCAGTTAATGAAAATATTCCTTCCGAAAATAGCTCTCCAAAAGCAACTCAAAAAAATTAAATCCTGCAGCCGAGGAATTTTCTTATTCCACTAGCCCACAAAACCCTCTCCTACAAGTTATTCTACCAATTTCAGGCCCAATCACTGAGTTAAATTGCAATCAGTACTTATCCAAAGATGATAAAAGCATATTGAGTCTTCCGAAACAAGTTTTTCAATTCATCAAATTAATTCCGATGGTGAACAAAATCATATCTACAAGGATTTTGACGATGAAGATTTTGATACAGAATGGGAATTGGAACAAGAGTCCTTTACAGTGAAGTTTCTGCTCCAACATATCACAATCGATCGAAAAAAGCTAAGGCTAAAGCAAAAGTTAGAGTTCGTCGATTAAATAAGGATGCAAATTTTCATTATTATTAAAATTGTACTTGACATGGGTTAGTATATTCGCTGCCCTATTTTTTTCCTTATTATTTATGAAATTGTTTTTTATTTAAAAAAAATATGTGTCTCCATACAAAAGGGTAAAATTCTTAGGTCAAAATTTATTCAGAGGATAATTATGCAACTACAGTTCTTCATGACTTAACTTTGTAACTTTAACAGCTCAAGCAATTTCTTTTTTCTTTTAAAGTGAGATTTTATTTTTTGGACCTTTAAAAGAATCGATTTCAAACCTCATTATCAGTCTTTAATCAAATTCCGACTCCAAACCATTTTGAGTCTCTCTAAATTCCTGTAGTTCTGATTATCGTGTGATAATTTATATAGTATAATTTGTTGAACTAAAACAGTATAACACTAAGTAAAATATGAAAATGGAACGAATCGAGTAATTAAAGATTTGCACACTCCCTTTTACATCTATAGTAATTACTTAAAGTAACAAACACTAAAGACACGTGTAAGCACCAGAATAAAAGAATTCTCCCTCCAAACATTTACAGACGTTTATAGTACAAATCTGAAACAAGGAAAATGAGACACGTGGCTTCATATTTTTTGCAGGAAAAATACATAAATATAAAATATAATAAAAAGTAAAAAAATAGAAAAGGGAAAAAAAAAAAGAAATCTGGGATAAGGGTCCCCAATTTTCTCTCCAACAACGCGTCTCAACAATCAATCTCCCATTATCTTCTCCATTAGATAATAAAATAAAATTTTAAAAAAGATATATCACCAATTATATTCTCCATTATCCTCTCTCTCAATCAACAAGATTCTGCTAATGAATTCTCCCAGTTTTGAAAAATTAAATATCATTGCATACATCAAATCAACGAGATAATGGAAACACACATGGGGTTTGCTAATGGGATGGTGATGGAGAAGAAGAGGGCGCCGTCGGTGGAAGAAGTTTTTATCCCAGAAAAGTCAAACAACGACATCAGAATTGGCGGTGGATTCCTAATCGCCGAATCCGAATTCAATGAATCCCAGTATAAAGTAGCATCGAGTGGAGAATTTTTGTAAGTTTTTTTGTTCTTATTCTTTTTTTTTTTTTACGATCTGAACTACAACCACCATGACCCTTCTGGTTGCGACAATGCCGATGCTCGGAATTCCATCGGTTATGCATCAAATTCAACAATCTTGAGTCAAAATCCTCCTCAGCGTCATAATTCATTACCCTTTGAATTTTTTTTGTTTCTTTTATACTGAAAATTGGCTACTACAGTTGTATTTCTTTTAGGAAAAATACAAATGAATAGAGAGATTCTGAAATGAGTGTCATTTTCGGACAGAATATACTAATTTTAATCGAGAGTCAGTCTCAGTTGGCGGTCAAGGCGGTTTCTTCAAAGTACGGCTTTGTTGATCATGATTCATTCGGCGGCATCATCATCCGGCATAAATTTTGTCGAAGGTATACTTATTTGTGGAATATATTATGCCTTACTATTTGATTAGAAATGGCTTACTGCCCTTTGATTCTATTAAGTTCTGTATTTAAGGCATTCCTATTTGAATTCTGTTTGATTAGAATGAATTTTGTTTGATTAAAAATGGCTTAGTCCCACTTGATTCTGTTCAGTCGTGCAAGTCTATCTAACTGCATGCCAAGTGTTAGAATAAATACATCACTGGACCTCAGCTCTGTAAGTCTTCTTTTGCCCATTTTCTGTTCAACTTCTTTCTCTTCCTTGCAAATAAATTCGTCTTTCGTTTGATAGTTTTATAATCCAATTCTTTTTGTGTGTGTTATTGCCAATATTCGTAGCCCAGAAAAGGAATTGTAGTTGTTTGTTTTCGGGTCAGATTAGTGTGATGTGTAGATGTCATCGTGCTGCAGGTCATTCAAGGAGTTAATTTTCACCATTGGATATCTCAGTATTTTGGTTTTATCTCTATTTTTTGTTTTTTTTTTCTTTTTCATTGAAGCAAGGTCTTTTTTTTGAACTTCTGTTTACACAATTATAATCTTGATAATTCATTTGACTACTTGATTTCAGTTGCTCATCCAAATGTTTGGAGAAATGTATTAATTTGGTATCAATTTTTTTGCCGTTATAACGGGTAGTAATGATGTAATTTTATTTCCTTTCTCATCTGTCAAGTCGATACGAAGCGATAGTCAGAACATGTCTTTGAGAAGTCTACGAGTAAATGGTGAATTATAATCTTTGACTAACTTTTTGCACCTGATTATCTATTTTAGTTTTTGAAATAGGTGATAATTCTTTATTATTACTTCATTATTTACGAATTCACTTGAACATTAGCATTGGTAGACCTTTTATTGATGGGGACAAGGAATGGTAGAAGAACCCTATCAGTAGGTTCTTCCATATTTATGCCCAGGGTCATCATGATCCAAGGAAGGAGCCAAAGTGTTGGGACTTTGGTTAAGTTAATCCTTTATTAAGCAGTAATTTAATTATTTATTTCAGTATTAATATTTAGGAAAGGGTATTTTAGTATATTAGCTATGCTGCAGGAATTTCTTGGAATAAAAAGGAAATTAGGTGAGAATCCTAGTTGTCTTTGGTTTAGGTTAAGTTTTAGGCCTATTTATATGTACTTCATATGAGGAGATTTTTTAGAGACGTTGATTAATAAAAATTCTTGCAGTAAGCTTTGCTTTGCAATAGTTGTGTGATTCAACTAAATCCTTGGTGTGATGCCTAGGATTCCTGCAGTGTGACGCCAAAGGGCCCTAAGAGTGATTCTTAGATTTTCTTCTCTTCTTCCTTCCTTACCCTTAATCCCTGTTTTCCTATGATTTACAAGCTTGTTTTCCTACAGATTCTTTTAGCTTCCACTGCATACTACTCTTTAATCAGCCTAAGTTCTGATTTTTTAACCACCACGTTTTTGTCCTGCGTCAATTTGGCATCAGAGCTGAATTTCTTGGGGTTTTTAATACTTTTTTGATCAGATTGGAATTGATTTTCCTGATGAAATTCTGTTTTCAAAAGGGTTTAGAGATCAACAGCTATGAATCCCCATAGCATAGGTTATCCTAATTTGCCTTGTATTTCAGAAATCGTTGAGGAAGATGAGCAGGAGTACAATGATGATGAAGAGGAGATGGGCATGGTTGATACTGAAGATTTGGAGGAGGTAGAAGATGATGTTGATATGTCCTATCTTTCACTAATTTGGCGAATTTATAGAGCACCAAAAATAGGAGAAGAAGATTGGAGAAGGACAGGAATCTTTCAGACATTCGTTTATTGCGGGAAAGCTGTCAAGAAAGTAATTATAGATGGAGGTCGTAGTGCGAATTTGGCTTTTGAATCCACTGTTGAAAGGCTGAATTTTAAAATAGAGCCACATCCATACCCCCATAAGGTTGGTTGGATTAATGGCACAACTACTCTTGTGACGATTGCTTGGTAGACATCAAAAGAGGTAGGTATGTTGATTCTATATGGTGTGATGTTATTCCCATGAATGCTTCACATATAATTTTAGGAAGATCTTGGTTATATGATCGGGAAGTAGAGCATGATGGTAGAGCCAACACCTACTCCTTTAACTTCAATGACATAAAATTTTTTTTGAAGCCCCAAACTGATGAATATATGATGAAGCATTACCTACCTAAGCAAAAAAGTGATCAAGTGATTCCTGAGGTTTCAGCTCTGAATGTTACTAAGGAAGACGGAAAAGTTTCAGGTCAGAATTCTACCGAAGCTACAATTGAGTTTGTCCTGAATCAAGTAGAACAAGATAAGAAAATTCGTAGTTGCCCTACTGAAGATGGAAAACCTGGTCTTAATGTTATTGATTTTCAGACAGAAAAACCTCCAAAACCACCTGATTTTTCAGGACTCACACATAATTTCATTATCATTGCTGAGGATGTGTGCAGAGAGGCTGTTCAGAATCAAAATTTGGTTGAGTCTACAGAAATGTTCAAGGATGAACCTATTGTTCAATTAGTTCAAGACAGTAGCTCGCTGGTCCTTGCGGCTCAGGAGACTACAATGGAAGATTCAGAGGTTCAGAATTTTGCCGAGGCATCTTTAGAAAAGTCCGATGATGAACTTACTGATCATTTGGTTCAACAAGACAACAATCTTATGATCTATGTGGTTCAGGAGTTTACTAAGGAGACTACAAATAAATCTACGGCTGTTCAGGATTTAAAGAAGATCATAAAGGAGAAGCCATGAATGTATTGGTGAAAGAAGTAGTTCAAGAAGTTCAGCAAAGTAAGCTTACTGAGAGCGCTGATAAGCCTGAGATTTATCAACTTATTACGTTTGGTAATAAGGCAAAAGAAGTACAACTTCTCAATCTTGGTGAGATTCAAGAGGACGTAGTTAAAGGAGGAGCCGTACTGAGAAATATTTTGCATCCTAAACTGGAGGGAGGTTCTGGTTCATGTGAGAAGTCAACTGACTTGATTCATGGAAACCTTGCTACAAGTCCGAATGAAAATTTTGTGACGTTGAATCAAGTTTTAAAGACATGCCATTCAAAAGTTTATGATCCTGGAATTCCGAAAGTTGATTTCATTTTTGGAGAGGTTTATGACCACAAACCAGCAAGTACATTCCAAATGTTTACTCTTATACCTACATTTGGCCGAAAGAAGTTTTCTCATGCTGAATATGCTGCAGTGCCATGGCTTATGTTTCAGATTGTCAGGTTCTTCATTCTCAGACATTTTAGAACTCGAGGATGAGTTTTTTCGAACCAGGAGAGAATGATGGAGACAAGGAATGGTAGAAGAACTCTATCAGTAGATTCTTCCATATTTATACCCAGGATCATCATGATCCAAGGAAGGAGCCAAAGTGTTGGGACTTTGGTTAAGTTAATCCTTTATTAAGCAGTAATTTAATTATTTATTTTAGTATTAATATTTAGGAAAGGGTATTTTAGTATATTAGCTATACTACAGGAATTTCTTGGAATAAAAAGGAAATTAGGTGAGAATCCTAGTTGTCTTTGGTTTTGGTTAAGTTTTCGGCCTATTTATATGTACCTCATATGAGGAGATTTTTTAGAGACGTTGATTAAAAAAGTTTCCTGCAGTAAGCTTTGCTTTGCAATAGTTGTGTGATTCAACTAAATCCTTGGTGTGATGCCTAGGATTCCTGCGGTGTGACGCCAAAGGGCCCTAAGAGTGATTCTTAGGTTTTCTTCTCTTCTTCCTTCCTTACCCCTAATCCTTGTTTTCCTACAATTTCCAAGCTTGTTTTCCTACAGATTCTTTTATTTTCCGCTGCATACTACTCTTTAATCAACCTAAGTTATGATTTCTTAACCACCACGTTTTTGTCCTGCGTCATTTATCCTATGTGGAAGTTTTTCTAACTCAATATTAATTTGTGTAAGCTTATTATCATCAGTATAAACTATGACTATTGGAGATTTTTTATTTGTGAAATGTATTCTTATTGTGCAGGGTTCATTCATAAGAAAGCATAATGGGGCTGATGTTCACAAAGCTTTTCAGTCGGCTTTTTGCCAAGAAATATATGTGGATTTTGATGGTACATTTTGATGCAGCTGGTAAGACCACTATTCTGTATTATAAGCTCAAGCCTGGAGAGTTTGTCACCACGATTCCTCATACATTTTATTTTTCTTTTACTTACCATCTTTATTGGACCCAATTTGCATATCAATTGTTGATAAGGGTTGTTATATATTTTGTAGGGAAACAATAGGTAAGAAGCAGCCATGGTGATTCCATCACTCTCGAAGAACGTAATAAAGAAAGAGGGCCAAAAAGTTTAGGAAGCCCCAACAATGCCGCAAAATCTATGTCAAGTTATGCTCGGTAAGTAATTTGAAATTTGCATCCCGCCAATCATGTTCCCGTTTTTTGAATATATGCTCTTATGAAAACTCTTTCCAGTTGTGGCAATAATTTTTTTTCTGGCCATGATATATTAATGTAGAGGGATACAATGTCAATTAAGTCTTGGTGAAAAGTAATTTTCAGAAAGTGAATGAGCATGTATGGTATGATGATATGATCAAATATTTTCCATGGTGATTCCTGTTAAAGGACAGAAGGAAATTGCGTGAGGAAAAAAAATGATGTATACTTGAACTAGAGGGTTTTTTTTTTGACAAAATTGTTAGAGCATTAGACTTTGTTTATTCAGTTTTCTTTCTTATTTATTTATTACGATAAATGCATGGTGTTAACCTTGGACTTGATGCTCAAAAAAACACAAGGTTACTTTATAAAGTCACAAATTTGCACAACATAGATAGAATTTTCTTTTGTCATTATCTAATGGATACTCTCTTCTTCCTTATGCAAGTTACTTCACTAAGCAATTATCATAATCATGCTGAAACTGAATTTCAATTGGACCGAACAAAGATGAAGAATTGTTATTCACAGAAACGGGAGAAACTAAAGCGAAAATCACTGATGCAGTCTTCAAAAGATGAAGATGGAAATGAAGTACCTTGCTGTGTTGATTCATGGTGTTCATGTACACAATAGGAAATTTCATTTAGTATTTTCTTGCAAATATATATAGATCTATTTTATTTAATTGAAATTATGAATTCATTTATCTATTAACAAAAAATTAAATTAGAGGGGGCTGCCGGGGCATCTGCCCAGGCCAAGCATCTAGTCAAATATAATTGAGAAGAAAGTCAACTAGACATGAGGAATCTTACATGGTGCTTTCCAAGCATAATTAGGAATGTTATGAATATTAACATGTTATGATAATTGTACCGGAAAAGGAAAAAAATGTTTTGATAATTGTACCGAAAAAAGAAAAATTATGATGAAACAATTATTTCTGCCTTAGTTATCGCCTATAAAAGCCCCGCGCCATGGAACAAGAGATGTGCACAAACACGTTAATCAAGAGGAGTGAGATAATTACGTAGAAATTGCTCCAATTTAATGGCGAAGTTAGCTGCTTTTCTCTTTCTCCTCCTCATTTCTGCTGGTTAGTACATCCCTCATCTTAAATATTCTGTTACTTCTTACTCTTATTTGTGTATTTGTTTATTTATTTTTTCATTCTAATATTTTAACCATTTTCTCCTAATGGCGAAAATATCGGTCTCTCATGACCCCTAGCTGGGGGGTTTGGAACACACACCTAAGCTTTAAATCCTTCAAACATACATTTTCTCTTATGTTCTAAAGTGGACATAATAATTGTCTTGTTTATTACACTTTTCATTTCAATTTATAGGTCGTTTTCTCCTATGTTCTAAAGTGGACATAATAATTGTCTTGTTTATTACTCTCTCCATTTCAATTTATAGGTCGTTTTAGGTTTGGAGAGGTTTTTCAAAATATAGGTCATTTTACAAATTTAGGCAAATTAATGACTATTTTTTCAACTTTACCGTCACTAAATGACGCCAACCTATTTTCATGTAGTCTTGTTTATGATTCTAATGTAATTAATGAGATGTAAAACATATATTTAACACATAAATTAATTTTTTGATGATTGTCTCATTAGTTTACGTACAAAATCTAAAGTGACTTACATTTTGAAATGGAGAGAATACTCTTTTGTCCCGAAAAAATAGTACACATCAAAGTTTTGATAGTCCTGTTTATTATTATATATCTCACAGAAATAGTATAGATCTTAAAACTCAATGAGAACTTTTTTTTTGGACCAAAGCTAGCTAGGAGTAAAAAAAAAAAGTATGACAAGATAGTTCGGGACGGAGGACCATATATATGAAAAATTTGCGTGACCATGCTATGATTAGTTATCTCATTTCTCACTTTATCTATGACTATGGCAGCGCTTTCCCCCCCTACTGGTGCTTCAGCTGCTAACACCGGTGGCACAGCGGCCTCTAGAAAGGTACTAATGATGACAGAAGGTCGGCGCCGCCTCGAAGATCAGTGCGTGGCCGACTGGTATTGCGGGCCGTTTTCAGCCTGTCCCAACTGTGCACCCCACTACGGTTGTGCTTTATTTTTCTGTGCTAAGACTTGGTACTGAATCATGTCAACAAGTGTCAATTGCAATTTGGTTTTTGTGACGAATCAAACCCTGCATTTCGAGGTTTTTTTTTTTTTGTAATCCAGTTCTTTTAAACTTTGTTTGAATGAGTGTGTTAATGTACTCTTCACCTGAATTATGGTTAATAAAATATCTTCTTCAAGTTATCTCTTGCGTAGCATCACTTCTAAGGGAAAAGAAACATCTAACGCGCGTATACGACGTATTTGCCATCGCTCAAAAAAAAACAAAAAAAAAAGGTGCAGAAGATACATTTGGAGGGAGGAGATGCTAATTTTACGAGACAGAGATCCAGTTTTGTTTAATGAAAAAAAATCACTTGTATTTAATGAAATTAATTGATTGTGTTTCGTAATTAATTAGTGTTCTTCACAACCACATGTGCTGCATTTCCTGGGAAGATGGACGCTGATCAACAACATATCATTACCAGCAGTTAAACAGTTACAGCTACAATTACTTTACTCAACTACGAACAGGATGGAATATCTGAAAATGTAGTCCCAAAATGATGGTATGATTTAAAATTTTTATTCTTACTACAATAGTTTGGGACAGAAGCAGTACTTTACGAGTCAAATTTTCCAGCATCTTATTTATTCTTTTTTCTTTTATTTTCTTTTAATAAATTCTACAGCGAATGCTGAACCAAACCACGTAAGAATAATAAATCTCCCCATTATCTGCGCGCTAATAGTACAGTACTGATGTTAATTTGGACTTTTAAAGTAAATGATTTGATTCTGTCATCAATCGTAGTATAAATGAAGAATTTGTGAAGGTGCTCAATCTAAAGTTGAATAATAACGCTATATGCAAGTTAGAGATTCGTGAAATGAAAAGAGATATCAATTTATTCTAATGGATTCAAATGTAATGGGGAAATACGTAATACATTGGATTTCAAGGTACATAAGCAAGATACATAGACAAACTAATTGCCATTCACACTTGACAGCATTCACCACCAAGTCCGATTACAGAACAACACACAACAAGCGTAGTGAGGGGGACAGTTGGAACAGGCCGCGAATGGTCCGCAGTACCCGGTGGACTCGCACTGATCCTCGAGACGGCGCCGGTCTTCCGCCATCATCCGTACTTTTCTTGAGGTAGCAGTAGTAGCAGTCGTGGATTGAGAAAGAGCTGTATTAATAGTCATACGTAAATAGAGAAATGAGATACTGATTCGTGAAAAGAAAATGACAATTGTTTGCGTGTAATATTACCGCTAATATCTCATCCATATATGAAGGAATTATAGACCAGACTCGATGGCTATAGTGATTGAAAGAGGAGGTTAATTCGATTCTCATCACCATTACAACACAATTATAGTTCTTGAATAAATAAATAAAAAAAAAAGAGTGTACGAAATGTTTAAGATGTGAGAGTACTAACCAGCTGCAATGAGGAGGAGATAGAGAACAACTAACTTTGCCATTAAAAATGGAGCAACTTCGATGTGATTATTTCAGTCCTGTTTGATGACACTGAGTGATACATCCATATCAATGGCGTACTTGGGTGTTTTATAGGGTGAAAACTAAGGCTTACGTTGTGATTCAATCATAATACTTTTTTTTTTACAAAAAATAACGTTTCTAGCTAATTATTTTTCGAAACACATTTTATGATTCCTTATGTCTAGTTGACTTTCTGCTCAATTACATTTGATAAATAGTCGTAACAATTTAATAGTTACAATGAATGGAGTTCTTGGAAAAATTGGAGAACGTGGAGATGTGGGAGCTGTCCTGGACTCCTAGTTTCCCCGAAATTTCGTGTTATTGTTTAATTAATCAATCAATTGATTGATTAAAAATACAACTTCACATGCTGATAAATGCTGGTTAAGAAAAATCATAAAACTACCAAGAAGTGGTTAGTACTCGTTCTATTTTCATTTGAAACAAATATATGATACTCGTTCTATTTTAATGTGATTATTATTTTGTTAAAAATATTACTATCTTAATATTGAAAGAGTCCACCATTTTCAGGAGCATTGCTACTGAAAAAAACGATCTTTGGTAAGCGCCTTTTGTTTGCGTTTCTAAATTTTTCAAATTGACAAAAATTGAAATATTGAGAAGGAAAATCTCAGGATTTATCAAATATTAATTGATGCATGAAAATGGGATGAAAAGGTTAGGTGGAATGATGAAAACGACAATGGTAATCACTTCGGTAACAACGAGTTTGTGATTCAAAGATCGACTGGAGCAACTGGGGCTAAAAAGACTATCTGTAAATTAGAATTCGTACGTTGAGCCGCCATTAATATTATCGGTACTCACTTTAACCTGAATTATTAGTGATCCCATCTCTTTTCAATAAGAGGAAGTAATTTGATTATTATTTCATGTGTTCCAAAATTCTTGTCCAATCTGGATTTTCACTTTTATTACTGTTTGAATTAAAACCAATTAAAATCTAAACTCGACAATAATTTTGGGACGGAAAAAATACTCTTTTTGGAGTTTTTTTTTCTTACACTTCTTCTCAATGGAACCGTTCAATAAGCAGAAAATTCTCTCAAAAAGTTATTTCAAATTTTATCCTTCAGTAACATGTATGTCTACGAAATTAAGAAGGTGGTGTAACTTGAGAAGATTGTACTACGGTGCGTAGTTAAGTATTGTCTCCAAGAATTCAGCTCATATGTTTTATATAAAATTGGCACCTGCCTCATCCTCTTAATTTTAACATTTTCGAATTTGCCCGGATCAGTGTGTGATGTAATTTTCTGATTTTATTACTCCGTGTCGCAAAATAATAGTTCACATGTAATTTGGTCCCAAAATCTCAACACCAGACTCTTTTGGGTTTCTTTTCGAATAGAGGAATACTAGATGTTAAACCCGTACGATATGCGGGGTTTATTTATATACATTTAAAAAAATTATTTCAAGCTTTAAATGTTACTAATACAAATAAAGTTATTGATTTGTAATAACAAATGAGTAAAAATAAATTAGATTGTCATCTCATAAAAAAATCGCACAACTATATGTATATACACGCTATATAATGACAGTATCCAATAGATTGTACTGAAAAAAAAGGAATAATGTTGCATGTCATGACAAATAAGAATATTGCATGTCATACAAAATAAAATTATTTTACCTGCACAAGAAAAAATACAATAATAAAATGATCATAAATATACCAAAAAAAAAATTAGATTATTTGCTACATTACCAACGATGTATCCGCTTTGTGTTTTCTTTTTATATTTTTTAATGTATTTTTTTTTTAACTACATGAGTATTGTTCGATTCTTTTTAAATATCCAGTAAGATCTAATATGAAGTCAAAGAAAAATTATACCATATGTAAATTCATTATTGTTGTGGACATTTATGAAAATTTAATCACTGTAAGAAAATAAAACTATCATCTGCCAGTATCAAAGATACAAAGGAGATATTTCATTTAACTAAAAATATTTAATCAGATTAGGTGTATATATGCAAAACCTAGCCAGATCTTTTGATGTAGAAAAATTCACGAAACAAAAGCCCAAAATATACATTTTAATTAATTCCAGTGCATAATGGACAATGATATTGTTCGACTTGTGTTGCGCCCTTGTGTTGCGCAATGAAAGAAATTTTGTAGGATGCTTGTTCGACTTGTAATTTTCAGTGTTTTCGGCCAAATCAAAGTTGATGATTTGTCTAGTTTCTCCCTCTCCATCTTCAAGAAGTTTTTGAAATTTTCACATGAGTTTTTTGTGGACAGAAGCCTGAATTTTCTTACCCTGCCAATATACATATGAAGAAAAAATCAATTGTAATCATTGGGAATCGGGGTCAAAAAGCTATAAGGAAAACATCAATTCAAAAACTTCTATAAACTATAAAATTTAGTAGTTACCTCTTCGTCCATAAGTAAAGCTTCAACGGATGAGTTCACCTCAAAAGTTGTTGTCCATACATAGAGGATTCGAACATTTATTTTCCAGTCAGACTTGACAACTATGGGGGTCAAGTCTTTTATGAAATCAACAGCGTTGTTGGAGGTCGACATGGATTGAGGTATTTGAGATTGTTCGTGGCGATGAAGGGAAGGATTGGGTGTCTGTGGACTTTTGTGGTTGCAGGTTTTGTTATGGGTTTTATGAGTATATATATACCATTTTCATAGAGTCATTTTCCACATTTGCATAGTAATAAAATCTGCCGCGATTATGGGATTAAGTGATTTTTTGGGATTGATATTCATTAATTGCGTCATAATAGCACAAACTGACTCTATCCTATAATTTTATATTGTTTTCTTCATTTCACCTTTTGGTATTAGTCAGGCAAATCGGAATCCATATTAGTGTCAATCAGCTTTAAAGTTGTTGAACTATATTAGGCCATCATTTATGACTTTGTATTATTTTATTTTTTTTTTGAATTTCAAAACAAACAAACTTGTGTAATGATGAAATTATTTTTTAAAGACACAATTATGTGTCAATGGGAATCGTTTCAATCAGCATTAATGTTGTTTTAATTTTTTTTAATTTAAAAACAAATAATCTTGTCTAGTGATGAAATTATTTTTTAAAGGCATAATTATGCGTGATTGGGAATCGAATCAATCAGAATTAATGTTGTTTTTTCAAATTTTGTTCCCTTTCAAAAATTTTCCTCTCACCGAATCAGCATTAATGTTGTAGTTTCAAAATTCTATCCCTTCTCCAAATTTCCCTCTCACCGAATCAGTGTTAATTAATTCTATCCCTTTAAAAAATTTCCCTATCACCGAATTAGCATTAATGTTGTTTTTTCAAATTTTGATCCCTTTTAAAAACTTTCCTCTCACCAAATACGTTTATAAGTTTGACCACAGAATGTTATTATTATACATTAACTGTGTAATGAGGTAATTATTACTTTTCTGGAAATTCAAAGGACCTTTATTGCAATTGTTGTAAATATTTTTTATGCCCACCAATAGGAAAATGACACATAGGATTTTGTCCTATGTGTCAACGGGAGGAGAAATTTGATTCCCTCTCTCTGGTTTCTCTTTTAGTATAATAATATAGATAATTTTGGGTGACTTGTTAAGTTGGGTAACTATGTGTATGCTTCTAATGTGGCGGCGATGGTAGCGGTGGCCAAGTCGACCTAGCTTCGGAGAAGTTTGAGTTTTGAGCAATGGGAAATTATTGATTGTTATGGAAGACAAATCAATGATGACAGTAGGGTCTTTACTCTTTAGTGTGACTTTTCAATAAGCGATGAATGACGCTTCTCAAAAGTCACATCTTGCAAACGGCAATTTATATGGTGAACTTTGTTTACCATTCTTGGTATAATTGTGTATTTAATATAATTTAAATATGAAATGGAAATTAATTGAAATATTGTTAAATATTCCATTCTCTCTCACTATTTAATTTCATATATTATGTTTCCAAGAATACACCACAAAAGAATCAATATTCCAATAATTTTTTGTAACTCTCCTTTTATTAATAACTAGGCTTTTTTGTAGTCGCGCATTCTTCTTTCTATTGTATTATAGATAACTTACGAGATTATTCATTTTCATGTTTGAAAGATATTGAAGAGCATGTAAGTGTCGGTTTTTAACTTATAAATTTTCATGAAATTGTCAAATTTAGAATCCATTGTTTTAGAATGATGAGAGTCATATTTAAGTAGTCTCCATCTCAAAATTATTGTCAAGTTTTGATTTTTACTTTTATTTCAATTTATATTAAAAACGAAAATCCAAACTGAGCAACAATTTCAGCACATAAGGATTATATTATATTTTTCTTGAACTTCATGGTCAGTAAAACACACTTTGTTGATATTTATAAAATTATTGATGTCACCGTGAGCCTCTCTACTAATCAAAATATTGGAATATAATTGGAACCGGTTCTTTTATAAGAATAATAGAGATTACTAATGGGGAATTGACAAACAATTTAAATTTACTAAAAATATTATGAAATTTTAATGTATATGTCATGAAAAATGTTATTCTACTTCATGAATTTCCTAAAAGGAGTATGAACATATGAATTCCTAAATACCATATTAATATTTTCATTTTTAGTATGAAAATTTGTGTAATTGGCATGAACATCATTGTATATATGAATATAGTGTTTGGTCTTTTTATATGTGACTAATCTTCCAATCATCATGAAAATTGTGAAACTTTGATACATGTGATATGGAAATTATGATCGTCGTTCATGAATATTTCATAAAAATAGTATGAACATTTATACTTTACGTGATTAATTTATTGATAGTTTTCCAATTTGTATGAATATTTCACATAATTTTCATGAAAGCGATATGAATATTTATACTTTACGTGATTAATTTATTGATAGTTTTCCAATTTGTATGAATATTTCACATAATTTTCATGAATAGTGACTAATGTGTGAATCAATATAAAATTAAACAAAACCAACTTCTATTTGTGATTAATATTTAAAATGTTTTAAAATCAAAAGTTATGAACTTTATATATATTTGATATGAAAGATATGGTTTTCATTTATGAATTTTACGTTATAAGATCATGAACCTATAGTTTTATATAAAAGACCATCATTTTAATTCATTGTTATTTCTTTCTATTTGAAAATTTTC